AGTCCTGAGAAAGTCAAATAAGACGGTGTGTCTACACTGCCCAGCCAAAAAAAAGTAACCACTTTGATTTAACTAGGCCAGTAGGTAAGGACTTTCCACTGGATAATAACTGAAGTATAAAAGAATGCATGACTGAAGTGATGGAGACCATGTTGAAGGCAAACAAAAAGAGGAAATAACAGGTCAAATCAAGCAAATCCCCCTCTCAGATTCCACAGCAACCAGAAGAACATCAATACTGGCTGGTGATTTGATTAATCAGCTTTGTGATGGAATAAAAAATGCACAGTGCATTTCCTTAGCTGTGGGTGAGTCCACTGACACATCTGACAATGCTCAGTTGCTGGTGTTTGTGAGTTTTTATGATGAGGCAAAGGGGGAGTTTGTTGAAGATGTGTTGGGCCTGACGAACCGCAGTGGACGCACAAGGGGGCAAGACATTTATAAAGCAATGGGAATGCTGAAGGAAAGAGGGTGCAGCTGCCTTTATTCATAACTGCAGCTCTTACACTGCGACTCCGAGGGATCAACCACAGACACAATAACAATGAAAACTGCTGCATACAGATTATTATTTTTCTGCAACCTTGTGTTAAGAATCTTGTTGCAATTGTTTAAAAGTTTGAATGACCGTAATAAACGGACCTTTGTCTTATTGAAAAATTGTTTTTGGACCTTTAAGATTTGTATTTGAGTACCCCTGCTGTAGTTGTTGAAAATGTACTTCCCTATAGTAACCAGAGGTTGCGCTAGACTTTTTCGCTGCCCATCATTTTGACGGACAGGATCGTAACATTTTCGTCAAAATCCAGTATTACCCGTCGGCCTTTACACAAATCTGGAGAGAGAGAACTGTCAAGCGGGGGGGGGGAAGAGCACGCTCGTGATCTGTTAGCGCCGTGTTATGCATGCCCAGTTTGCCCACTGCACCTCGCAGGAGCGTGCACAGCGTAAAGCCAAAACTAAGACATTTTAATGATTTGTACGGCAAAGTTAGGTTTGGAAACGGTATAATTTCCTTTTTGGCGTGCATGCATAACATCGGAGCCTCGCTGCGGGGAAACTTTGGCGCTTTTCCGAGTTTGTTCTAATCTGTCAAAATGACGGACTGCTTTCCGATTTTTCCGTCATTTAAAAGAAAAATTCGTCAGAGACAGACAATATTCGGTTAATCCAGGATTACAATTTCAGGATCCTGACACTGAAACGGCAAAACATAATTCATTTTATAATTGACACATGGTATTTTCCTACGGGAATATGTCAAAGTGTTCAGTTGAGAAGCTCTGATATGACGGGGTATTTTGAAACCTTGAGTCTTGCGTTTTGTCCGTCCCCATTGTGGATTTTTGGAGCAAATATCATTTTTGATGAGGTGGTTGGCCTGTGGAGGATACACATTGCTTTGCCTCTATAAGCCCCCAGGAAGTGCACCGGACTTTGAAACAAATACATTTTTAGTGTCCAAACGTGAAATTACAACATCCATGTCAGTCCTTGGCAACATAGGACCTTTTTCCATTGACTTGCAATTGGAAAGAGAAATCTATACATCAGCATATACTTTTTATTTTTTAGTAAATGATCTACCCAGTATGATCACTTGAATTGAAATCGTCCGTGGTAGACACTTGTCAATCTCAAGGCAGCCACACCTTAAGGCCCTGACACACCAAGCAGTCACCAGAGGACTCGCCGACGTCGGCTGTTGCGTCGCGGTGTTCTCCTGCGTCTTGGCCATGTGTCGCACGGGAACACACCGCAAAGACTTCAGTGCGTGAGTGGCAATAACTCTCCTTACCAGCAGGCGGCGGCAGTGTGTATTCGTAATTAAAAATAGGCAACAACCGGAAGACAGAGAAGAAGAACAGACTGCATGATATAAACAACAACAAATAGCGTGTGCAAACTGCAGCCTGGTTATGATCCACTGCTGTCTGCCCGTCTTTGGTCCACAGCTACCTGAAGGGGCAAGTCTCCTGTATCTACTGGGTGTACTGGGTTCGCAGAGAATCCCAATTCTTCAGCTCTTTCTTTCTCTGAAGCACACAAATAAACGATGTAAGCATTGTGGCTAGTTAGCATGTCCAATTCATATCTATATGCAGTGCCAAACTGCACAGCTAGCAACAAGATAACAACAAAACACAAGGTTGAAATAACAAATTACATTTTACGTTAACGTCACTGTACGCTGGCAAACAATAAAAAGCCAACAGTATCTGCTAAAGAGCTCAATTGATGAAAAAGATAATAAACCAAGTTGCGTTTCAATCTCTCGCCAGAGTCCGGTTTTCACTACTCGGTTCGAGTACCTTTTCTCTGTGATGTCGTACAGAGCTGGCCTCTCCTGGATCAAGGTCATGAGCAGGTCTTCGTTTGCGTCATTCCAGATCGCCATGATGAGATGAAAATGAATATCAGTCTGTGTGTGCCTTCTTAAATCGTTTGTTTACGTCCCTCACTTCCGTTTCGCTTCTCATGCACTGATTCGCTAGCTGAACAGCCAATCAGAGTGATTGCTTGGTCCGACTGCCTGACCCGATGCATGGCCGATTCAACATGTTGAATCGGCCATGCATCGGGACAGGCAGTCCAAATAAGGCGTGTCACGGTCGACGGTGCGGGACACACCAAATTGAGTTTGGGCGACAGGACACGCTTCGTCTCCCGACTTACGAAAACAGCCGAAATCGGCCTGGTGTGTCAGGGCCTTTAGGCTATCCCTGCTTCATTGTCTACTTCACAGTTAATGGAACCATCATTTATCAAATTAACATCATTATGTATGAAGGATGTTTGAAACTATCCATAGAGACCATAAACTGGTTAGGAAATTGTTGACTTATGTATAAAATAAGGTGAGAAGTAGGGTAATGTTTTCATAGACTTCTATACAATTTGACTTCTTTTGCATTGACTTCACATTGTTTATACACAGAGTTTGCATATACTTATCTTATACAGTGTATGCCTCTACCGCAGGGGTGGGGAACCTCCGGCCCCCGGGCCGTATACGGCCCGCGAGACCATTTGGTGTGGCCCTCGAGTTAATTTATAAACACATGCAAAAAAGAAAAAAATTAAAGAAATCTAGACCGCAAAATAATTAAACAAGTGAGTGCCTGTTTTTCCTGGCCAAGGTCAGGGTCCTTGACCACAACACAAGCCTAACGTGTCATCACGTGGTATATGTCTCGTCTGACAGGAGTGTAGTTCAGACGGAGAGCACCAGAACGCTATGGGCTCAGAACAGTTTCATAATACACACATGCACACAGAAGGATTCACACTTGTATTTCCGGATCCACACTTGTGTTTTTCAATGCACACACAAATGTGTTCCGTTCCATATACATGTAAATAAAATCCAAATACAGAAAAAAGTTTTACATGTGTATTTTTGATCCTCACATATTTGTTTTCCGTTTAAATCCTCTGAACCTGCAAACACAAACCGCTTTCTGTGCACGGATCGCTGTGCATTCGTGTGTGGGTTTTTTGAGACTCCCCTGACGGTCAGCCGATTCACACTTGTAATTTGTTCTATCTATAGCCAATCAGATGTCTCCTCAATTCTAAGCCAATCACATGAGCGCGCCCCCACGAGGGTATGATTTCTTGCACTTCCAAAAATTGCAGTACCGATAAGGAGCCGTACACATGCTGCAGTTTTTGCGTGGCTGTATCTTAGTTGAAAGCCCAGTGGCGATCTGTTCATCTGTCATACTGATCATACAGTCAATAACTTTGTTGTTATTAGCATCTGGTTAGCTAGCTATGCTAACGAATATAAGAAGCTTTTTCTACAACCAGTGAGGTAAAGGCACATCTTTATATGATCATTATAGTTATAAAAAAATAAGAGAATAAAGTAAACAGGTATAAAATACTATATGACAGTAAAAAAAAAGTTGTTATTAATAAACAAGAATACAGTTTGAAAGGAGAGTGATTTGTAAAATACCCATAAAGAAAAAGAAAATCTGCTTCCAGTTCTGTTTCATCTGGGTGTTGAGAGATGTATCCATAGATCTACTAATGTTGTTCTCAAAGTGCACCAGATTGATGCTTTTAACTTCAACATTTAAAAAAACAAATCTTCCCGGGGGAGCATGCCCCCCGGACCCCCTTAGAGGAGGTTAGGTCCCCCCCACTTAAATCATGTTCACATGGATAGGAGTCTACATTTGCACACATCTTGTGTCCATATCTTTCTGTTTTGGTGGTCATGCCACAACCGTGCACGTGCATGCGTGAGTCATGGTGAGATATCTGGATTAAAAGGTTGCTTTTTCTTTGCACAGCATGAAAGAAAGGCGAAATGAGTGGGCTGTGATTTTAGTATTTTTAAGCAGAGGTCAATAATTTGTACGGCCTTCGGAGGATGTTGAAAACATTGAAATGGCCCTTGAGAGGAAAAAGGTTCCCCACCCCTGCTCTACCGGGTCATAAATAGTTGAAACTATAAAAGCTGAAAAGCCCTGTAGAAGGAACAGCATAACCTGATTAATAAAGTGACAGATCCTGCTGTAAACAGTCATCTACTTACAAGCTTTAGGCTTTGTGCTGTTGTTCCATTCCAGTAACAGCAGCAAACAAGATAATTGCCTGTTTTTCTGTTAGTATCACAACTTCAGTGTGCTTGATATGCAATTTAGTGGGTCATAACAGATGAGAGGAATTCTAAGATGTCCAAACTGCCTTTAGATTATTTCTAGATAAATTGATTGGTATATCAAATGTCAAAACATTGTGAAAAATTGAGGTGATGTGATCTTTTTTTGTCAGTCTAAAACAAAAATATGTTAGATGTAATCTCCTATTAAACAGAGAACAGTAGGAAATCCCAATATTTTAAAGCTAAAAAAGGCGCTTTAATTTTTTTATCAACATAATTGCCGATTCATTTTCTCCCAATTCTAAAAGCTTTTGTCTTTAAAGGGAATATTACACTGGCTTGAAGTAACACCAGTTTGTCATCTTTAATATTTTTCCAGAGTGCGTCATTCAGAAGAGTTGGAAACCCCCCTCAAACGGTAGCATCAGAACTGGGGGCCAAGCAGAAAGAAACGTATGCTGGTGAGTTACTAAATTATATTGTGTCACAGTTACAATGAAATAATTAGTCACATGTCTTAATGTGATTGCATCAGCGACAGCCCAATGATTCAGTCATGTTAAATTGGAGTTGGGAGAAAATGGAATGGAACATTTTGGTTTGTGAAACACTCAATAAAAAATAAAAATGGGTCTAAGATTACACTCAAGCTAATTCAGAAGCTTAATTTGTAATTGAATATATTGTGATGTGTATAACTCAATCAAATACCCCCAAAGTATCTGAGGTGATTCTCAGTCAAACTCAGGAAAAACAAAATGTTCATGATTTGTCATGCTTACTTAATATGTTGTGGTTGGTGAACCACTTGATAAAACTCTCATACTAAATAGACTTGCTCCTGATTTCCCCTGAAGGCCAGGCACAACAAAGACTCTAATCAGGGACACACAAGCAGCTCTGTTGGAATAAAGGAGGGTGTGCTCTTAGAAATAGGCGCTGCTTTCGGCTACAACCTATCTGCTGAGAGGTTCATAGGTCACCTCCGCCTCATGTTTATAAACAGTGTCTCGCTGACAGCACTGAAGTTAGACTGGTAACCACACACAGCGTCCTGAGTCAGAGCAGCATCATTCACTTAACTTCACACACAAGCCAATTCAAAGGCAGACCGGTAAGTAGCCTCACTTCTCTAGAAGGTACATTTAGTGTTAGTTTGTATTGTTTTTTTTAAGGAAATGTTTGATTTGTCTTTCGGACTTTTACATGTGGTTTATCACCTGAATGAGTCACACATGCAAAGTTGTAATTTAGGTGTTTTACAACCTTAGTTTGTGATGGAAGTTCACTGTGAAAATGACCCGCGATAGACAGTTACATTAAGTACTTGCACACTTTAAAATAGAGATAATAAACACTGCTAGTTCTTGATCTTGTTATATGGGGTGAAGGAAGTTAATAATGAGCAAATAGTCATTAGCTGATAAGCTGTTGATGTCGTGTGCTCGACGATCGAGGCTCTGGAGATTAAACTTTGTTTTAGCCAAGCCGAGTCTTTTAAAATTGTATTTTCTCTAACCGAAGTGGGATAGATTCAAATTCTGTATCAAACCGTTTTTTGGTGGAGAGAAGATTTTAGATTGTTGCTCATTTCACGCTTTACCCCCAAAACATGTTGTAACTAGAGCCCATTGTCAGTCTATCAGCAACGTGTTCTGTTTTAAATTACGCTTTTGTGTGATTTTCTGTATCCACTGTGCTTTGGATGCTTCTTGTGGGTGTCCGGGAAAAAATCAATGTAGAAGTTTGTTATTTAGTTTTTGCTCCCACAAACCTTTACTGTGCATTCTGTTGTTACTAGCCTGGACAAGTTTGAGGAGGATCTCTCATCCTCTTTATTTTTTAACATTTAGCCCTGTATCTGTAGTCTGCAACACAAATCCATTCTCTCCAGATGGCCATGCTGTAAATTCAGTCTAAACTTTGCTAACAAGCGGGCTGCCAAAGGCCTTTGCGAGTTTGCAGTATTCCTCATGTGACCCACTCTTTACTCCTCCACCACCCTCACCCTCACACATCAACCCCCCATAGGCTTCACAAGAGACCTCATGAGGATCATTTGACTGGAATGATATTGCTGCTTCAGGCTTTTTAGAGGGGAAAATAAGCAATTTGTTACACAATTCTCAGTAGAGTGTATTGTGCTCCCTGATACGCTTTTTGTATGTGCTATGCTAAGATAAAGGTAGCAGCTGAGGTGGTGTGAGTGCACTAATTGTTTATGGGCTGCATGCTTATCGTGCTAAATCTTTTGGTGTGCTTTCTAATGATTGAACTTTGGTAGACCCTGCTGCAGTGTCTTAGAAGGGATGCTCTTGTCAGTCTTTTTGTTGATTACTGATTTAATGTCATCAAGATCTATTCATCTGTTATCAGTCCTTCCTGTTCACAGTCATTGTTTTACAGTCTTTCCACCCAAAAGTCTACATAAAAGCTGCCTCTGTTTGGCTTTATTTGAACATCTATGGGGCTGGTCTGCAATTTAGTGTTATTGTTTCATGACTTTTATGTAAAATCTCTTCAAGGTGATTTTATTAATGTTGTAAAATTCCAAATTCCAAAGCAATGAAAACAAGTAAAATAGTAACCAAACAAAAGTGCATTATTTTACACATTTGTCCTGATATAATGCAAAACAGGGACATTAGACTTCCATATGATTATTTTATGTGACATTTCCATTAAGATATATCAATGTCTTAAAATATGAATATTGTGTTGGGATTTTCAGCCCAACTTTCTAAATTCTCACATTTTAGGCAGCAGCTATTTTAAGCTATCAGGTGACAAAACTGTCATTTTTATCAGGTGTGCGAGATAAGTCACATTTCTCGCAGGAAACAAAGCCACAGTTAGATAATCGGTCCAGCCATCTGTGAGACAGTCACTACGGTTATTTGGCACTGTGGCCTTAGAACCGGGCTAAGACATAAGGAGCAGGAAGCCGCTGCTCAAGGATGGACTGACCATGCTTTCTTGTATAAAATACTTTAGAAATATGGGAGTCACAATTAAACCTAAAGGAGGATGGATTAAGGTAGGCCAAGCAGCTGGTGGTGGACTTCAGGAGGCCCCAACATTTTTGCACACACACCAGTGAACAGACGTTGAGATTCTTAACTGGGTGTTCACCTGAACAATTAACTGGACTGGACCAATATTTCTACTGTTCTTTACACAGACTGTATCTCCTCATGAGACTGAGGTCTTTTGGAGTGCGGGGGGCAAACAATATTACATTCAAAGTAATAGAGGCTGTGTGTAACAACAGCAAAACTTTATCAAAACATCCGTTAAACTCTCAAACAAGTTGTGCAGCGTACCCCAAGTCTCCTTTACTTAGTTGTATCCGCACTACTTCTAATGAAGTGTTTTAAAAAGCAGGTTGATAGTGAATATGCACTAGATTGGAAAGTGGTCAGCATAGGACTTGTTAAATGAGATTTTGATTTTGAAGTAAAGACAAAGTCGCCCACATTTCCTAGAATTGTTTCCGATACTTACCTAGAAAGCATACGAGCTAAACAATGCTTCAAGGTAACAGGGTGATATATTTGCTAAAACAATGGTAATTTTAGCGGTACATTATTCTTATAAGCTGTTGGCATATTATTATTTTAGGAATGCAAAAAATTATTATTATTCAAAATCTAATACTTTTGCTTTACTCTTTTGCAGGGGACCAGAAGTAAGGGGATAATGCGAGTCCACGTGCACACCAAGTTCTGTTTCCTGTGTGTGCTCACCTTCCTCTTCCATCAGTGCAACCACTGCCATGGAGAAGAACATAGCCATCAGCACGGTGGACACCCCCACACCGACCACGACGAAGTCCACTCCGACCTGCAGATTTCCGAGGATTCGTATGTGAAAGGAGCCACTTTTTCCTCCGAGTCCAAGAGTCCTCCAGGGCAAACTCTAGAGAAGGAGCAGCACTACTACATCCAACAGCTATTCAGCCGCTACGGCCAGCAAGACAAGCTCGACTTCGAGGGATTTCAGAGTCTGCTGTTCAGCTTGGGTCTTGGGGAAGTGAAGTTGGTAGACGCTCAACACGAGGAGCTGGGCCATGACCACGTGGCTCACCTCGACCTGGTGGATGTGCAGAAAGGGCATCACTCGCATGCATCCACCACTGATGGCCACGGGCACGGACATCCACACCACAAGCCTGCCTCCCACCATCCACATACGGAGCAGAATCCCACAAAGTGCACCCAGCAGACCACTGCTGCCAGTCCAGCTACGGGCGCACATACAGGACATGACCACGACCACGCCAAGGTAGTAGATAGTGAGCATAAACATTCTGGCAGACATGTGCAGGACAAACAAGGCCATGTCCACAATCATGATCATGCACATGACAAAGGGCACAAACACGAGCAGGCACATGTGCATTCTAACCACAAGGACGGACCTTCTGAACCTCATGACCACAGTGATCACAACGATAATGGCCAAGCTGATCATGACCACAGCGTCCACAATCATGTCCCTGAAGTTCAGACAGGCACAGACATTCCTCCTCTCAGCCAAGAGCAGAAGCCCTCCGCACAGCTGGAGCCGTCCCAAGCTCCTCAGGTGCCACAGTCCTCCCCCGCCCCTACAGAAACTCAGACCAAGAAGCCGAGAAAGCCAGCCAGGGTCAGGGGACAGCGGGGGCGAAACAAAACCTCTTCTCCAAACACTCGTCAGCCTGAGGCACCCGACCACGATCACGATCACAGTCACAGCTATTCTCATAAAGATAAGAGAGAAGCTCCAGGAGGGCCTGGCTCCCCCACCCTGCCAGTCCCCGTTCTGTCCGGCCACCCTAAAGGATTGTTTCACCAGCATGGGGAGGTAGGACTCAAACTCACTAACTGATTTTGGCTTTGACCTGCCAAGAGAACTTGTATGAATAGATTCATAGCAAGTCTTTTTTAGTAGCAATAATAGCAAATTCCAAGTAAAGTGTTAATTTATTGAATTCGACCCACATGAATACATTTTGCGAGGAACAAACTAGGTTTTATTTCAGTATTAATAATGTATTGACTGGGTTTCTTTACTATCTCCTCTCCTTCCAGTGTCTGAACCTGACTCAGCTTCTCACCTACTACGGCCTGAGTCCTGATTCGCTCATCTCGCCCAGCCAGTTCACCTACCTGTGTCCCGCCCTGCTCTACCAGATAGACAGTCGCGTCTGCATCCGCCATTTCCACCAGATGGACGTGGCTCAGGAAGCCTTGGAGCCCGTCAGTTCTGGTAAGAGCAGAGTATCTTTTCGACCAGTCCATGTTGGATGACAGTTGCTGTTGGTCATTCAAGTGGTTGGGCTGTACTTAATGTAATTTCTTCTTATGTGTGAAGCTTCTATTACAATTTTTAAATAAAAAAGCAGAAAGAACAGGTTCAAACACAATTAATAGACATTAGGGGTGTAACGGTTCACAAACATTTCGGTTCGGTACGTACCTCGGTTTTTAGGTCACGATTCGGTACGTTTTCGGTACAGCAGAAAAAATATATCACAAAACATAAAATATTTGTTGTTTTTTTAAAATTATTATTAAACTTTGAATAATGTATTCACTCAAATAAATACAAAATATAATAAAAATAAACATTAAGGTGCAGCATTTCGATGAACTGAAATAATCTGTATTTGAACTGTACTGTACTAGTACCTAAGCAGCCAGTTTGACATTAGGACTTGCTTGTCATTGTATTTTCATGTTTTTTTAAGAAAAATTCACTTGTCCACATTGCTTGCCGAAAGGGCAGATCTGCTGGCACTAACAATGTCTCCTGCTGTGGAGAACACCCTCTCGCTAGGGACAGAGGTAGCAGATACAGCCAGGTAGCGCGTTGCTAACATGGCAACATAAGGATATTTGGCGTTTGTAATAGCTTTGGCTCGGTCTGAACTCTCTGCGAGTGGTGGAGGCTTAAATGCTAGTGGGAGTTGGGTTTACACTTTTTTCTTTTGGTACCGGTGATATTCACGTTCGGGTGATGCCTTTTCAAATGAGTGTGCAAGTTTGATGTATTGCCAGCCGCGTAACCAATGTTAGTTGAACAATGCCGACAAACAGCTTTGGTTCGGTCCACCTGTCTTTGTCCTTCATCCTTGTACGTAACTGCGAAACCAAAATGTTCCCAAACCGGAGACTTCAATGATGCTGGAGGATTTTCGAGCTCAACTTTATCTGCGTTGGCCATTTCGACAGTTCCTCAAATTACTGACTACATTTGAACGCATCCCTGTGACCAGCTCTCATAGTATGCCTCTCGTCCAATGAAATGACTTGCTCGCTCTATGACTCGTTGAACCCAATGTGAGCAAATTACTCTGAATGCTGCGACTCAGCACCTGAGATTACTTCCAAAAAGTTGTTCACGTTCTCAATTTTTTACGTTTAACGTTATATTCGTTCGGTACACACGTGTATAATTTCGGTACGGGTATGTATACCGTTACACCCCTAATAGACATGCAAAAAAGGAATCTGCACAGCATTCAAGTGTTAAATTACAATTTAAATTTTTCTGGCACAGCTCTAGAACATTTTTCCTCTTCTCACCAATATTTTGGGCCAAACAGAACCAACCCAACGATCCTTATTTGCTCAATGGATCAATTAAAAGTATGTTTATACCCATCAGTACTGAAATCACAATTGGATACCTCATCCCAATAATACAGTGAATTCACTCCAAAATGAAAGAAAAAGCCAACTTTTTCAATAATGAAATGAAACTCGGAAAGGTGAGATATGATTGAAACAATAAACTGATAAGTGAACAGAACAACTATTGATAGATTAACATTTATTGCAATAATAATTTGGTAGAGAGTGAACATAGTCAGCTGTAAATCCTTATCTGCTGTGCGCAGGAAACCACAGAGACATCACATAATAAACCATTAGGTTTTTTATGTGATGCTATCAGGAGGAATAACCTGGAGCTACTCTCTCTGGGGGAGGGGCAGACCTGCATAATAGAATGTTTATTTAAATAATCACGCTGTATTTTATCGTGATAACATTTGAGGTTGGCAAGGCATTCCTCTGAGAATCTCCACTCTTTTTTTCCTTTTGGGCACAATGATAGGGCAGTGTTTTCTCAGTTTCTGCTATGTAGAGCAGATAATCAGAGTGAACACTCACTCAAGCGTAACCTGAACACTGACATTAGTTGAGGAAAAACAAACAGGATATTGAAGGTAATTTTAGAGCTCACAGACCCAATGAGTAGGCTGACTAATCTCTAGCTTCTTATATTTCTGCAGAACTAACAGCATAATGTGTAATGGGTTTGATGGTAGGCAGCGTAGTTTGGGAAATGTCGGTTAGAGACTTAGCTCTTGAGTTTTACAATCGCACCAAACTGTTGCACAATCGGGTTATAAAAGTTTGTTGGTAAGAGCCATGCTCTTTGGTCTTGATAACACTTTGCCAAGGCTGAAACCACACCACCACACACTCAGCACAGTCATTTAGACTGTTACAGTTATTTGTACAAGGAAAAGTTTCTCAAAACCAATATGCATTTCTGTTGAAAGCATGCTTCTTGTTTATTTATACACTTCTGGACACTGCAGTTAAATGCATGTGTAGGCATGGATTGCTGGAAAACACCTGCATGAGTTAATGTGCTAGTTACTATTTCAACCATATAATGAGATGTTTGCTATTTTAAGGTGTGACTGGATGCAGCCACTATTTAGCATAATAATGACTTGATTCATTCTTTCAGTCAATCACAAGTCCCAGTGAGCACATACATGACTAATGGCTATCAACAGGTTCGATAGACACTGAATATATTAACCCTGGTGCCAAACTTTTAAAAATAGTCACTTTGATGTTCTAATAGGAGTGTCTTTGAAAGATAAGAGCTACACAAATATAATATTTATATAATGTTCCACTTTCACAGAGTAAAATATTTTAAACTGCTTAAAGGTCCCATGTCATGGCCATTTCCACTGATCATAATTCCATTGTTGAGGTCTACTAGAATAGATTTAAATTGTGCAATTTTCCAAACTCACATTGGTTTCTCGTACAGCATCTCTGTAAAGTATGTGTATTCACCCTCTGTCCTACACGGCTTGTTGGAGCTCCTGCCCCCCCCCCCTCCCTGTGAGCCCAGTGTGCTCTGATTGGTCAAGTGACGTGCAGCTGCTCGTTGCTGTGAGGAGCAGACAGGGCTTCCATGATAGCGATACAGATACAGCTAGAACAAGCGAAACTCATCCTGAGCACACACAAACACTCACAGCCGAAGTAAAAACAATAAGTGTGGCTTGATATTGAGTAAGAAAAAGGTTTATAACGCTGTGAGAATGGGTCTGCGGAGAACATTTATCCGCGATCCCAACGTTTACCCATTTAAACAGTCGTGGTAGATACCTTGTTTGTTTTAAACATCATAAATACACAAACAACAATGAATACTTACAGGTTGTGTACCCGAATCTCCCGCTGGTCCAAACAAAGTAGGAACAGCATCGTTCTTCAGTGCCCTCCGCTGTACATATCCGGCATGAATCGCTGAAAGGTTTGGGAAGCTTTGTTTCGTGAAAGGCTGGCAGAGGGTGCGGCCATAGCTCTGGGCGTGGCTACTGGGTATCCCTACGTAGCGATACCCCGGAAGTAAAAGATAAATCTCCAACGAGGTGTTTTGGGGAGGTCTTTTCTGTGTTAGAGTTTTACTCGCTACAGGGTGTACTTTGAGGGGTTTTGACTCTGCAGACCGTTTACATGCATAACAACCTTCATAACACCGGAAAATGGACATGAGACCTTTAAGTTTAAACAATAGGCTAAAATAATACATGTTTTTTTTATTTAAACCTATTAATTGCCAGTTTGTTTATTTAACGCCACTGTTGTGGTTTTTTTCATGAAAAATACACAAAAGTGTAATTATCTTTGGTTACCTGAAAGGGAACTTTAATAAACTTTACTACCAAATATCCAATGATCTTTAGGATTGTATTATCTTTTCAATGTACACACGGCATCTATTGCACGTCTGTCCGTCCTGGGAGAGGGATCCCTCCTCTGTTGCTCTCCCTGAGGTTTCTCCCATGTTCCCCTTAACTGTGGGTTTTCTCTGGAAGTTTTTCCTTGTACGATGTGAGGGTCTAAGGATAGAGGGTGTCGTTTTTCTCATACTGATATTCTGAACAATCTGTGCTGTTGTATTTGCTGTAAAGTGTCTCTACTGTAGGCTATTTTTATTATATGTACAGCACTTTGGCTCGACCAAAAATCGTTTATAAATGTGCTATATAAATAAAACTTGATTTGATTTGAACCCTTTAAATGCGACCGTGTTTTTTATGTCAGTACCAGAGTTAAAACGTGGGCTGGAAACCTTGAAAAACATGTATTTGCGCCTTAGCCGAACATGGGTAAAAGGCTAAAATGCTCTAAATTGAAAGGCTGATATAACAGAATGCATTAGTTTATGCTCTCGGATCCAAAGATGTGATTTCATAACGGACATTTTAGGGGTCTGTACTTTGTATAAGCAGTTTATCAAAGACTAATTATAGGAGCATAGGTTCAACTCGCAAAATATGAAGAAATACCTTTTCCCAAATGTATGCCACATGCATTAACACAGCACAATATTATCGTACAAAATAAAGAGCCAAAAAAGAGAGCAGTTGGAAAAAACCCAGCCTGTGTCTCGGCCATATTCCCCAGGGAGAAAGTTAATATTTGAATGAATAGGCGGCCACATTTTGACATATCACATGCAGCTGTTGATAGAGTACATTATGTAATAAAAACTTGCCTAACTGCAGCACTCTGTTAAGGGTGCTTCATGTGCCCTTGTTATTTAGTAAGAATAGTTGTCATGACAGCAAATTAGTGGCCTTAATATGTGTATTAAACCACCAAGAAAACTTATTTGAGGAACCATCTCACTTGTGTTTAAAAAAGGAATCTTCCTTGCATTGATTACTTGCTTTTAGTTTCCAATTCTGAAAACAGAGGAAGAGGTTGAAAGATCAGCTGTTAAAGATGAAGGTCGCTTTGAAGCCCCGCTCACTCTGGGAGTGTTTCCCACTTTATGAGAATTCAAATGATAAAATCAAAGCGTTTTAAAGTTAATGAGTTACAGGCTGTGAAATAAAGGTCATATAGCCATACAAACTGGCACAAATCAAACAAGGAATCAAGATGTATGCAAAAATAAAAATTAACCCATAGCTGCTTAAAGAAATTATTTAAATGTGCATTGCATTTGTAGGAATATATCCAGCCACCTGGAATGAAAATGCATTATACGATAATCAATCTGACCACACTGCATTTCCACCTTTTTGTTCCTATGTTCTTTATTATAATTGGATTTTAGTTTTCACTTACATTATGCTAAATAGTTTGGGAGCTGTCACTGTAAACAACACGGCAAGTCTAGGGGGTCACGAGATGTTCTGCACAACCACGATTTATTTTTAATGAGAGGTCCTAAGTCCCACTTTTATGACCAAAACAATTTGAGCTGCTAAAGTTTCTGTGAACACTTCAGGTCTGAAAAGTTCAACCATGGGATTGGAGGAATTCCCAAACACTTCACCCTTTTAAAATCTTTAATAATTACACACACTTCCCCGTCACGCGCACTGGAAACAGTCATAAAGATGGTAATGACGACGAGGAACACAGCGGGAACGAGTCAAAAGAGCAGCACGGCTCCTCATTAGTGGAAAACCACCGCCACTAGATTGTCTGCTATTGTGCACCGAGTCGACCACAGGCTTCGCCACGCGTCGTGGACCATCTCTCCTTTACCTCCCGCCGCCATCCATGGGGGAGCTGGGGAAATTTTGCAGTCGGCTTCACTCAGGTGCCCACTCCCCTCTTTTTTCTTCTTTTTTTTGTGCGCTGTGCCAATTAGGAGAGCCTAAGCGACACCCTGGGCCATTTTTCTGAGCCACAGCTCACAGGGGATGCGTAATTGGAGAGAAGACACAGACCGGTGGGTCTCCTTCGCCTCTCTTCTGTTCCCCTATCGTCCAACTCCCCCCACCAGCACACCTCCACGGCTCCACACAAAAGCACAACCGCATAAAGGTAATGAGAGGGAGAAGTAGATGAGCTGTGTGAGTGAAGGACCCGCGGTGATGTACTGCTGCCTGATGTTCAGACACCTCTCAGGGCTGCAAGGTGTTCCGCTCCAAGAGACAAATAAGAAAGCAGTCGTGCCATATTTGACTTCTGTATCGAAGAGAAAGCGAGGGTTATTACAGACATGTTCATATATGATGAGGAAATGACCTTCGCTTGTCCAGTATGTACTACTTACTAATGACAAGGTTCTCCCCAAAATACTATCTAGGGATAACCGGTGTGGTCCAGCTTTTCCGGGAAAAATGTACTCGTGAAAAGTCCAGCTAATTTCAATCCCTCCGGATATAACATTCAGTGAAAATAATTCCCCATATCATCGATGTCACAAGCAATGAGATGCCATGGCTGTTAGGACAGTGCTCCGGCTATGGAAGCTCAAATGTATCAATGCAGAGTTGCAACCTGAAAAACGTTTTCACCATTGTTTCAAGCTAAATCTATCCCAAGAGGCCAACTGGACGAGGGATTGTTCATCCTAGTCTTCATTGTGCCAACAGAAAGAGGATTCTCTCTGCTGAACAAAATAAAAAAACAGCACTTGATTTTAAGTCGACGGTTTGATTAAAATGTTGTTGATAGCCATCATATCAACCGTTTTTAAAAATAATGTTAAATTATATACACAGAAATAATTTGACCGGTAGTTTTGCATTTCATCCGCAACACTGCTCTATATAGAAGGGAACCAATTATAATAATGGTATAACCATAAAATATGCTGTGACCATTCTACCTCCTAACAATAGAGAACCGCAGTGACGCGTCCTAAAACCCGGAAGTAAGTTAGCATTTTTACCACGTCCGGTTCCTTCGATAAAAAGCAATGCAATTTCTCCATAGGATTTTGGAAAATAGCTGGAAATAAGGTCTGTGTTTGACACACATTGAAGAGACAGATCATGTTTTGTTCTACGACATTAAATACATCAGCAGTGACCCCACTGGTGATTTATGAAGAGTTAACGTGTCTGAAAAACGATGGTTGTTACCAAGTGGCTGAATAGGACTACAGAAGTTGTCCAGGCCGTTTTACGTCATTACACCGAACACGTAAACACTCCTGCTAAGTTTGTTTGCCCTGTTCTGCTTGAGATCAAGTACCTGCCTCCTGCAAACTGTTCAAACAAACACTTCAACTTGTACCATTTACAATCTGTATGTTTGAATATGGATCTTAAGTTGGCGTGACGTTGAAGCAGCGACCCTGCTGTAGTTCCTTTATAGCATAACGTTAGCATTTTGCTTCTGGCGACTAGATTTATGATTAGAAAATTATAAAAGTAGGATAGACATGTGGATATTATCCGGCTGAACAAAACGTGATCCGTCTCTTAAATGTGTGTCAACCACAGACCTTATTTCCAGCTATTTTCCTAAATCCTATGGAGAAATTGCGTTGGTTTTTGACGAAGGAACCGGAAGGAGTTTACATCCGGGTTTTAGGATGCGTCACTGCGGTTCTCTATAAAGACTATGGGTAATTTTAAAGAGACACTCCAACCTCAAATATTATTGGGAACTCGGATTCTGGATCCCGCCAACGGAGCCCCGCGCCCCCCCTGAAATTCAAGGTGTATACAAATGTTTTATTCATTTTTTTTTTTTAAATATATATATAGCACCAAATTGCAACTAAACTATCTACTGTCACTTTTCACATTGAACATGTGCTCTTTTATTAAATAAACTAAACACTTTCACTTTAAATTGGGAGTTAAAATGAAAATGACTGACTAACTTTCAGACTATTGCTCCAGTTTGCTGTCCTGAAAGGCCTCACTGAATGAAATGGTCTGTAAGATGTGCATTATATGCTCCCTGTGTTCCAGTCAATACTCGTCCTATAGCTGAACGTCTGCAGTCAGGGACCCATCGGCTTTGGCGTGACATTGAATTTCATACGACATTAAACATTTTGTCCTCTGTGACGAAGGAATCGAGAAGTTTTCTCTCTCTGACAGACGGACTGACAGTTTAAATGATAGTGTACCTTTTCTCTCTCTTGCCCCACGTCTGCGGCCTTGAATATAACAAATGAGGAGAGTGGAATTCTGCTGAAATGTCACTTCACGTTTCTGGCTTCAGGCATCATGTGTCATCACAAGGACACAGGGATTGAGATTCTCTGGAGGATGCTTTCCTTCACACGGGAACAGGAGGGGTAGAAATATATCTTAAGCCAGCCGTTAAATGAGGCTGATGCTGTGGCTGATAGAGTTCTTTTTTATGGACTTTCACAATAAAATACATTTGCAAAACATAGGGTGTGGCCGTGCTTGTTACTCATGCTCTGTAGAGTGAATATACCTGTCTTACATTCGTCTCCCTGTCTCTCCGCAGTGTGGGTGTGGCTGTGGGGGTTCGTCTCCATCACCATCATCAGCCTGCTGTCTCTGCTGGGCGTGGTGCTCGTTCCCATCCTCAAACAGTCCTGCTTCAAGTTCCTGCTCACCTTCCTGGTGGCGCTGGCCGTGGGAACACTGAGTGGAGACGCTCTGCTCCACCTGCTGCCTCACGTGAGTTCAGACGGACAGAACACCCTGTGTTCAAAGGGTTAAATCACTTTTTCTAGGGCAGCAGCAGTAGCTTTTTAGTTTATGAGATTGGTGCTTCAACCTTCTCAGCACGTTAAGGGGCAAACCCACAGTGACAGGTGATTCAAATACATTTAGAATAACTATTTTAAGTTTACTTGATTATCATTTATGCTCAGAGTAAACCGATGAATTATATATATTATATATATATATATTATCAACATGAATACAAATTTGTTTAAAAAAAAAGGTTAAAATTCACGTGCACATCAGGGTTTCTGTTAGCCGGTAATTACCGGTTTTTAGCTGGTAAAATGTATTAAAAACCGGTAAATTCAAAACCTGCCGGTCAAAATGTCCGGTAATAATTAGGGATGCTCCGATCGATTGGCCGCCGATCATTATCGGCCGATATTCACTCTTAATAGTTTGATCTCTCTATAAAGGCCGATCAGGAGAGCTGGATCTGATCGATATGGACATAAACGCGAATGAAGTGAAACCGGACGCGAGATCAGATTCAGATTTTTTTTTTTTAAACAAAATATTTAAATAAAAAAAAAAGGATTCTTAACTTGACCTATCAAAAGAAGGACTTGGTATATAAAAGCTTATTTTTAGCAAAGTGGGATAAATCAAAGCTGACAAAATGCCTTGTCATGCACTAAATGAGCCAATCACAGGCCAGCAGAGATGACATGTCATGACTCGCCACAGCATGTCATAATTAAAATATCAGATTTGCTGTTTGATATATTATTAAAACACATTTAATGACTTTAATGTGATTATATTAACCTTAGCCAGGTCACACTTGAAGAAGAGATTTGATTCCTCGAAAGACTTTTATCTGGTTAAATAAAGGATGTATATTAATCAGGCAAGGGATAGGCATGTTAATCAAACAGCGGGCAAGCTAAAAGTAAAACGTTTGTGTTTCTTAAATGGCAGGTTTATATATTTAGTTATACTTCTCTTTCATTGTCTTTACACTTACCGGAATTATTCCTATTTTAAGTTGAATGTGCAAACATTAATTGTATTTCCTCTGAATCATGTCATACACCTTTGTGTCGTATGGCGTGAAGGGGGTAAAATGTATCAACTTTTCTTCCTAAATTTGAAGAATTCTAGCTTATGGTAATTCCAGACTGACTTCGAAGACCTGCCTCACCCACACTGCTCATTCTGTTGTTCCTCTCAACATCAGAAATGTGTGAAATCTATGTTCTGATCAAGTCTTCACGTCCACAGTCTCAGGGGCAGCACGACCACGGCGAGCCCAAGTCGACCGACGAAAGAGATTATCTGAATGACTTTGATGGAGTGTGGAAGGGCCTCACGGCGCTGGCCGGCATCTACTTCCTCTTCATCGTGGAACACTGCATCGGCATGTTTCAGCACTACAAAGACCACAAGGTGAGAGACACTTCATTCTCACAAGCTGCTTCCGTCTTTGAGTATGGTAAGAGTGTTGCATTTCTGCAGATAGATTCTAAACTTGGCTCTGCTCGCAGGGCACGAAGAAGGCTAATGAGGAGGGCACCATCGGCAGGAAGTTGTCAGATCACAAATTAAATCGCCGCTCGGATGCAGAGTGGCTGCACCTGAAGCCTCTCAGTGAAGGTAAGAAGTGTTCGGACAGAAAGATTGGTTTTTGGGCCGCTAACAGAGGCCAGCACAGGTCGAGTTATGAAACGCCACACCCCCCAGCACCAGGCTTTCACAGTAAGAAAATAAAAACTGTCTGCTGATTCTGTTGATAAAATATAATGATTACGATGTGAAAGACACTGCTTAATCATTTTCATTCCTGATTAATCCCGAAAAATGTAGTTCTTACCTGCAGCTTGCCCACATTTTGTTCCTTTTTTACTTGTGCCCATTCTCGTGCATTTCTATCAAACATATTCTATAAGTGGATGGTGTGCATTAGAATCAGGGCCAATGTATCAAAGGGTAAACGCTTCCTGTTTCCTAAATAGGTGTAATCTAATGTACTTATATTTGACTATGCTATCGTGGGATAACTCATGTTTAAGATTACAAAAATGAGTTAGCTGAGCCTTTGGTAATGCGATAGGTAAAGTGATGTTAGATTTACATTTTGACACTGTTTGACTTACGATAGCGTTTTGCAAGATCTCACAAAGGTGTTGAGACACAAATCAGACCTCAAGAAAGTTAATTTCTTCTAATTATTCTGTCGGAAAAATGCCATTTGTGTCAAAATGTTCCAAAGATATGTGTGAAAATAGGTCCAATATTTACTTTGGTGACTACAGGGAGATATAATCAGTAATTATCTGCGTTCACGCTTAATTCTTCCATTTGAGTTAATAGACTAACACTTACAGCTAGTCGCTTTAAACGGCACAGCCACTTGACACAGATACATCAAATTTACTCAGTCAGCATTCTTTTCTTAAACATTAATATTAATGTATATTTTAACCTATTAGACCACTTATTTACAGTGTACCCGACCTGATTCATTAATCTGACCCACAAGTCTTTTTCTGTGCGGCCATCACTGTAATATCTCCTCTCTCCTCCAGACCCTGAAGGCACCGCCGTCTCCTGTGACAACGGTCACAACGACACTCAGCTCTCAGAGCTCCAGACGCCGGACTCGCCCACCAACAAAACCCCGTTGGCACCCAAGGTATCCAGCGAGGAGCACCCGCCCCCCAACAAGGAGAACGGAGGCAAGGCCAAGAAGCACGGACACTCACACGGCCACTCCCACGGGGGGAACTGCCACTCGGACCAGGAGATGAAGGACGCCGGGATCGCCAGCATCGCCTGGATGGTCATCATGGGCGACGGCATGCATAACTTCAGTGACGGTCTGGCTATAGGTGAGAACTTCTGCTACTGTGTTTCATCTGCAGGGTCCACTTCAAAGTTGAAATGTATTTACTGGAATACCCTTAAAGCTGTCGGTCACATTCTGTTGCCCCCTCATGATTTCTGACATCACAGCAGCATCATGAAATGCCATTCTCCCCTCAGCAATGAGAAATGGTAAATTGATTCTCTAGGTACTGGTTTAACTTCTGTTAACTCGCTAAAAACAATCCTGCCTCCCTAATTACTGTATAGACGTGGAACAATATGCCATGTTATGGCAACATTATTTTTGCCTGAAATAATTGCGATTCACAATTATCCCAATGTTTATCAAAATAAGCTTGAAACTGGAATTGCTTATATTGCATCAGAGGTATGACTGCAATTAGTTTTATGTGGATTTTTTTTTTTATAAATAAGGATATTATAAATCATGAAGTCCCCCAGCTTAAATTAAGGAAAAATAAATATATATAGAAAAAGTCTTCCTTACATGATAATTCCTATATTTTAAAATCAGCCTTTTTCATTATCTTCTTTACCATCACAGAGCTAGACGGCTTTTTTTCAAGTCACTCATGCGACATTTAGGTTTATCCCGTTGATTGAAATCACTCCGATTAACTCACCGTGAGATCAAATCTGTCACACCCTTCTTATCGTACCATGACAACAACAAAAAGACTGTCTATTTATAAAATAAATTGCTTGAAAATGTAAACATCTTGAGGAATGTCTCATTTGTTAAATATGTAAAAAAATTGAAGTGTAAAACACTTTTGTTTTCATGGCGGGTTCAGTGCTGTACTTATTTGGCTGAAGCTTCACATTTAGTGAACAGACATGCGAGCGGTATCCATCTTCTCAACTTTCAGCAGAAAAACAAAAACCTGATTTCCCCCCGTCTAACATTCCCTGACCTTTTTGTGTGTGCAGGCGCAGCATTCAGTGCAAACTTGACGGGAGGCATCAGCACATCAGTGGCTGTTTTCTGCCACGAATTACCTCATGAACTCGGTAAGTAGCGTGAAACAAGAGAACGTGTCCAAAAATAATGACACGCTAGGCACTGCACCCTTCACTTCTCCAACAAGTAGAACAAATAAGTTAGCTCACATAATGAAACCCAGCATCATGCAAAACGTCTCTTTTCTCACTTGGCCTGAAACTTTAACCTGGAGTGTCACGCCTTTCGGGCCTGGAAACTCATATCATCCCTCTTCTTGCGTTCATTTCCCCCCCGATTAATGGGTTCTGTGTGACAGCGGCAAAATGGCTTGTCACCGTGTCTGTCAGTGAGGATGAAACGACGAGCCTGGCTCAATACGGTCAGGCTCAAACACTGTACATCAGCCGGGCCTTCATCTGCATTCAGATCTCTCCGAGGAACCATTCGATTCACTTTGACTCAGCAACATTGAACTTTAGGGTTCGGAGTGGTGCTTTTTTGTTGATTGTGTTGAGAATGCTGTGAAACAGACAGACACCGGGGCCCTTCACAGCCGATCAGTACTAATGATGCGTCTCATGGTGTTGCAGTGTCCACGTCTCGTTTGTTTGCCTGATGAATAGAGCAGTGTCAATTACAGCAAAGTGTGAATCGGAGGATAAATATCCTGTGTTTTCTGCCTGCTCCCCCCCGTGGTTACTTACTAGCCGCGTCCTGTTAGACTGTTGTGATGGTCAGGGGAGAAAAGAGGAACGTGTTAAAAGTGTTTTAATGCAGGTGAAACAAGTTTGGGTTAAACTATCGCCGGCTTTAAGAGGAGACGCTACAGGTGAATAGAATAGAAATACATATCACCATAACAATTCCCCAGCTGATTACTTTCACAGAGACAAGTTTCATTTGCATTTTACATTTTTGGGATGAAATGTTCAAGTATGCAAATAAGGCATTATCTTATTATGTGTGCTAATTTGCATTTCAGAACAGAAATGTGAACTTGGATCATTTGTTGTTTAATGTCAGGTTTTAACAAAGGGGAATACAAGTTTTTCAGTCGTTAAAATGAAAACTATTTTTGGCATGTTAGGAATATAATACTTTATAAATCCGGCTATGAGTAATATTAGAACAAACCCCTCGGTAATAACTTTCCAAATATAGATAGGAATGCATCTCTGCATATCAGATTTTTACATCTTTTTTTAAAACTAAGAAACATGATGCCTTTAAGGATATGTATTGTAACATTTGTCACGTTCTCAAGCCACTTCAGGTTTTTACATTACCTTAAGTGTCACTATAAATATTTCCCGGTTAAGATAACTTTAGGTTGTATTACATGTGTAATCTAATGCAGATAGTTCGGGAAAATCTACAGTCATAAAAAGACAAAGTTAGTCAAATAAACAACTTCATGTGTATTTTGGATGTTTCCTTCACTTCAGAAAGAACGACATGAAATAGAAGTGAAATAGCATACACATCAAATTGACCCCCCATGAATAAAAAAGAGATGTTTTCCTGTAGCTTCTCACTTGAATCTGTGACGTGAGGCATTTAGCTGTTTTCAGTGCCAGAAAATCTGCAGTCATCTGCTTCAGGATAGAGGAGCTCTGATTCCGCTCCAACACATCTGTCTCTATTTTGACTCGCCGTGCTGCAGTTTCCAGATGGTCGAGTGCCGCTCAAGTCCCGTCTCAAGCGGCATGTGAATATTTTCGAGATCAGTCTCCTTTCGTGTTATTTCACATTTCCCGTTGATTCACTTCCCCGCTCTTTAGCAGCACTCTGCCTCCGCCCCGTAGGGCCCCTCGTCAGACAAACCCAGCGGTTTGACAAGTACACTTCTCGGCTCCTCCTGAACACGAGAGCCGCCCCCCCGCCTGGCAGCTGGATGGCAAAGATGATGATTATGAAGCTTCTTTAACCACCCGGAGCGAGGCTAATTGGCAGTGATGGGTGTGTTAATTGCGGTAGACGAGGTGGCAGCAGGCGTGTCTGACCGTCAAACAGATTTGGAAGCAGGGAGGCAGGAAACGGAGTAACAAGAAGAGGCCTCTCTTTAACTTCTCCCCCTCTTTTTTCTATGGGTTTGATTGATGGATGCGAGCAGAGTGGTAATATATTCATTGAGGTAATTAGCCAGGAAAAGAGGCCGCTTGTTACACGGCGCAGGAAATGTAGGCCACCCCCTTCTCAGTATTCATCTCCCTCTCCAAAAATCCAGGGCGTTTCCGCTGAGACTTGGGCCTTGTCCCGCATTCGGCCATGATTGAAGAGGGAAGAGAGGCTACGTCGTGCATGTGTAATTTTAAGACGGGAGTTAAGGACATTTTTCTTGGAAAAAGCGGCCCCTGGTTTGTTTTAGACCTGCAGGAAGATAGATAGTGGAGGCAAATGTGCCTGCTCTAAGCGACTTCAAATAATCACAAAAGACAATAGTAGAGAGTAAAGAGGCATGACAAGTGCCAAGTGTTACCCAGGTCCCCCTCCACAAAAACACTGGCTCCTGGCTCCAAAATGGTTGCAGGAGCTCCCTGTTGATAACAGCACAGCAGAAAGTCGACACACTGAAATCCACCTTACGACTGCAGCGTGGCCAATAAAAAACGTTTTATTTCTACTGTACTTTCGGCTTATTTGAACTCAATTCAGTATCACTTATGTATTGCTAATGTGATGCCAGGATTCTATCTTTTTTAAATGTGTTTTTTCATGGTTGAATTCTCTAACCGAAGCTTCTTTTGATCAAAGGTCAGCTAAAGGTACTGTAATGAAAGTTATTCACCGAGGGGTTCATACGCAGCAAACCACGACAGAATCTTCACACAACTTTAGATTTTTGAGTTGTTGCATGTTGGGATACAGATGCGTGGGGTTTGCTTTACTGGTGTTTAACTGAGTGTGTGTCTTCTGACTGACAGGTGACTTTGCGGTACTGCTGAAAGCGGGGATGTCAGTGAAGCAGGCCATCTTCTACAACCTGCTGTCCGCCCTCATGGCCTACGTGGGCATGATCATCGGCACGGCCGTGGGACAGTACACACACAACGTCACCAGCTGGATCTTTGCCGTCACCGCGGGCATGTTCCTGTATGTGGCGCTGGTGGATATGGTGAGTTGAAAATAGTCCTGCTTCACTTTCATTTACATTCTTCTATCTGCCTATTGTTGTGCAAAGCTAATTCCCTTTCTGATCCTGATTCTGTCTCCCTACAGCTGCCGGAAATGCTCCACGGGGACAGCGAGGACCACAAGCGCTGCCAGCTGGGTCACTTTGTCCTGCAGAACCTCGGCATGCTGACCGGGTTCGGCATCATGCTGCTCATCGCCATCTTCGAAGACCGCATCGTTTTCAATTTTGGCTTTTAGTCTAGGAGCTAGTGGGGAGGGTAGCTGGGAAGTGAGAGCTGGGTGTATCAATATTGTTCTCCATGGCCTTAACATGCTTTGTTTGCGATGTAACGGCCCAGTGTTGCATGCAGTGTGGGTCTCGTTCACGGCCAGTGCCTCCATTCCAAACATGCAGCTGTAGCTTATGCATATCTCATGACTCTGCCAGTGATGTTTACACTCTGCTCCTCCATTACCTCTCCTCTGTCGGCTCCAATCTGTCTGCTCCCCGAGAGGAGAAAAAAAAAAAAGGCCCAATGAAAGAAGAGCGACCGGAGAAGGCCTCTCTGCTCCAAACCAGTGACCTCCATCTAAAAACGAGCTGTTGGTGGCGCGGGAAAAGCGCATACCCGCAGAGAGGCAGCTGCCCATCGCCTATGCACCGTCACCTGTTGTTAGTGCTTTGTTGTCTCTCATCCACCCTGTGCTGTGTGCCATCATCCATGCTTCCTACATCTGCGGTGCGTGTTCCACCCGCCATCCATCATCAGGTTGTGATGTTATCACGCTGTGTGTCATACATCTCTCAAGCCCTGGCCACTGGAGCAGCGACAGTGACGGAGGTTAGCTTGCGTCTACACCTGGAAGAAAACTTTTTAGAGCTGCAATAATTAGACAACTAGGAGTTTAAAACTAAGTCATGCCTTTTTGATATTCGGTTGATCGTTTTAAGTCATTTTTAACGGACAAATGTCAGAAAATGCCGTTTTGCCTCTTTAATATAGAGGTTTCTCAGTTTCATATACTTAAGTCACAATCTTTCTGTTTTGGATTGATAAGACGTTAACTCTGACTTTTAGACGCTGGGATAGACATTTTTTATAGTTTTCTGACATTTTATTGACCAAGCGATTAATCGATTAGCCTAGAAAATAAGATTGAAAATAATCATTTTTTGCAGCCCTGTTTGGCTTATGTTGCTTGATAGTCAAAATGTGTTGACGCCTAAAAGCTACAGTGTCAAAAACGAAACGCGTTCCCCCGACTTTACGTGGCAGATCTTCCGAATGGCTCAGTGTTAGTTAGTTTTTTGCTGCAACTTTTTTTCCCATTTATGTTTTATTGTCAATTAGATTTTTTTGGGATCATTAAAACTTTTGTAGTTCATAGTGTTTGCTAACACAGCTGCCAATGCCTTTACAAACTAGCATTTAAGACTTTTGGTTAGAAAGTAGAATGTCTGACTTTTTGAAGGGTTCTATAGTCAGAGATGTATCCTCGTTACATGTTTTATCTGTCTTTATAAGAATCGGCAGTTTCAAAATGTGAATTCTGAAAAAGCTAGCTCTTCCTCTCTTCACCTAAAGGTGTTGTAGTTAGCTAGATTTATTTAGGGTGCCTCTATGAGTTCCTAAAGGTTGCTTCGTTCAATCGGACCACCCGGCAGTGGACCTTTATTTACAGTAGGTAGGTTGAAATGTCACACCAATGCAGATGGTTTTTATGTACTGTAAACACATTAAGTCTTTATAACATCAGTAGTAAGAAAGCACATTTTTGTTGCTGCTAAATAATAGTTTTGAAGGTACAAGGAATCAATTCCTGACAATCTACAACAGACCAATCAAAAGAGGAACAATTTACCTTGTGTCAGCTTCCCAAACCATTGATACAGATAAAAACATTTTTGTTTACAAGCATTCCTCGCGTTTGTACCCCAGGGTGTATGTTATAGTCACTCAGATGACTGTGCCAAACCTGACCGAGTGTGGTTTTTCAGTGGCTGGTGCTTGACACCCCTCCCCCTACATTCCATTGGCTGTCCCACAGCTAACATGCTAAGCTAGCTCGCCTAGCTTCAGTTGCTGGATCACACAGATTCAGTGTGTTTTCATTTATCCTGTCACTGTGTGACATCCATCATCGTATGTGTCAACTGGCTGTAAATCATTGTTGGTCACATCGAACCCGTGTTATCGATCCGACTGAACCATGCATGAAGCATGAGAGAAACGGTACAGACATTGTGTTGAGTGTAAATTTGTTTTCATTATTTTCTACTGCAAAGTTAAACTATTGACAACCTTTGTTACTTTTTAAATGAACTGTGTCTGATGTTCATGTGGAACTCTTTGGGGTGTAGTGTAATAGGCCTGAGATAATCTAATGTATCTACACTTCTGTTTACAGTCATTTTAATATTTCCAACTACTCTTACACCGTGTTCTGCATTAAAATAAGATTATTTGAATTTTTCAGTTTCCTACGATAAACATTTTTGTATTTTTTTAAAGACTAAGTGTACTTTTTATTTTCATTATTTCTCTACGAGGTCTTGAATTTCTTGTGTAATTAAATGGTACTGACAAGTGTGTGATAAGGGTCCATGACACTTAACACACTATGCCCCAAAGAAGTTTCTCCTGTACTCATCGAGCAAAGAATTGTCTGTAAAATGAAGGTCCATGATTTGTTCTCACTTTTGCTTTGTTGTATGTAGGTCTGTTCAGTAAGCTGGATATAAAATGCAAAGTGTGACATCCTTACTGTTCGCCTTGTCTGCATTCTCCACTGTACGAAAGGAAATAAACCTTGAAAAGGTCTCTGACGCTTCTGGCATAATGTTACAGACAACTGTTGTGTAACACATCTATCAGCATCTTGTCTGCGTCACGCTGCTATATTCCTCACGTGTCAGTCTACATCCCAGATCAACGGGCTAAGCCAGGCTCATTCTTTAATAAACAAGCATGCTCAGGAGACTATGCATACATAGATTGTCTAAGTTGTCTAAAACGAAGAACATCATGTTGAAATATTAGTTTTGTAATGGCTGCATTACTGTTGTTTTGTATGTAAATATGCTAAATGCTAGCTTATCAAGATGATCTACAAACTGAACCATCGCAACACTTGGTTGCTGTGGCTCAGGAGGTAGACGGTAGGCCTCCAATCAGTAGTTTGGTGGTTTGATCCCCAACTAAAAAACGGCATAAATCAAGGACAATTTTGTATATCTTGTAACAAAAAACGGGTTTCATAGCACGTATCACAGAATTGGTACGTTACTGTTTTTTGGCTAGCGAGAAGACAACACACTCTTTTTTGTTATCTTGAACGGAGTGGCGTTAATGTGCGAGGCATTTGGTAAAGTTATTCATACAAAATAGCTGATTTTCTGCAGTGAGGATCCATTTAAAAGTATGTAAAAAAGGCCCAGCTGTAATTGATGTTTTGTTTAACATGGTTTTCCTAAAGAAAAAGAAAAGTCTTCCGTGCACCAACATCGATGACAAGCTGATGTTTCAGAACGGTAAGTGAAGTTAGCGTCGTTGTCTGATCTTGATCATGTTGTGTGTGAGCTTGTTACTGTAACCCAGTGGTTCTCAAACTTTTTCTGTCAGGCCCCCCCTTTGGAGAAAAAAAAAAGTCGGTCAGGCTCAGTGGCGGCACCAGAGATTTCTTTTGGGGGTGCTGTGGGGTAGCTTGACGTTTCATAGAGGGTGCTCAAACATTTAGGGTTTCCCATTAATGTACCGGGCGCTACAGTGGAATTTTCTACCTCAACACTCCCCACGCATATACACAATGTACCTGCGACTGTTACAATGAAGGCTCGATAATCAGCTCACGGCATATAGGCAGGGGTAAAGTGCTATTTTTACAGGTGGTGTGTGGATCTCACATAGGGGGGTCCTCACCTCCTCTAGGGAGGTCCGAGGGCAAGCTCCCCCGGGAAGATTTATTTTTAAATATTGAAGTTGAAAGCATCAATCTGGTGCACTTTGAGAGCAACATGAAGAGCTCTATGGATACCTCTCTCAACACCCATATGAAACAGAACTGTAAACAGATTTACTTTTTCTTTATAGATATTTTACAAATCACCCTTTTAAACTTTATTCTTTTTTTACTGTCATATAGTATTTCATACCTGTTTTTCATTTATTCTCTTATTTTTGTATAACTATAATGATCATATAAACGTGTGCCTCGGAAACAATTGTTTACATTAATGGTGACCAAAACGTTTGAGACCCACTGAGATAAGACTGAGAGTCCTTTAGCTCACTGAGTCTCTGTCTGACAGGAGAGGACTCTCCTCCACTTTGTTGTTGAAAAAACTCCTTATATCTGTTAGCGTAGCTCGCTAGCACCAGAAGCTAACAACAACGATCTCCAGTACCGGTGCGCTCTCTCTCGCTCGTGCACACAAAATGGCTCGTTTCACACACACACACACAGTCGAGCTTTAATGAAACACAGAGACCCAGACGTAATAGTACTGTACTGCATTATATTATTTTCGAATCAATCATTTTTTAAATTATGATTTTTTTTTTTTTTTTTTTTGATTATGATTTTATTTTTTTATTTTTTAAACCATTTTTCCTCCTGGTCTCTCGCGCCCCCCCCCCCCTGGCATGCCTCTGCGCCCCCCACTTTGAGAACCACTGCTGTAACCGGTCACATTGAATGACTTTGTAATGGTTGTGGATTTTTTGGTAGAAATGTACTGAATGTTAAAAACAGGAATCTAGTGACAAACGTTGCACTCATACGTCAGGATAGTTAAGGTGAGAAATATTATGGTACAAAGATTTTTTAAATATTTTTTATTGGAGTTGATCTTAAGGTTAACTTTGACACTACCTTTTTGTTAATACATTCTCGAACAAGACAATACAGATAGGAACTAGTGCTTTTGTTTGAGAACAGTACAAACTATACTTGCTGTGTAAAATAAACACTTTTCAATCGTATTTGATGAGCTGTCAGTGCATGTGTGTGAGACAAACTGAGCCTAGGAGTTGAGCTGGCAGAGCAGCGCTACGCCTCGTCGGATCCAGTGTTCAGCCGCCACGTTGGTGTTGAGCGTCATGGCGATGACGTAGTTGGTGGAGTGTCCGGTGGTGGACAGGGTGCCGCGCCGCTCGCTGGTCTTGTAGACGGGCAACACGTAGCACATCCTCTGGGGGATGTCCTGACGTTTGAGGGGCTTCAGCCACATCTGACGGAGAGAGACGATCGGGGAGACAGACGGGGGTCAAATTAGGTGACTTTAAAATGTAAGATGTGGCTGACACATCTACTTCCATTCACAAGTTGAGCACTAAGTCACTGTCCTAGGGTCTGGATTACATTAAACACTTTTGACTGGGGGTTTAATTAAACTGGCAAATGAAATTCTCTATGCCTCTGCTGACGAACAACACATTTAACAATCTGGATTATAGACAGACTTATAATGATATAGTGAAGTACATTTACTAAAGTATTGTAATTAAGTTTAATTATTGTAAATTTACTCTGACTACTACTTTTTAGAAGCCAATATTGTCATTTTTGTCCTTCACTACATGTATCTGACAGCTTGAGTTACTTTACAGATTGAGCCAATACAAAATATAAATCAAATATTGAATAAATATTGATAGTGTAATTATGAGATAAAATATTTAGCAGCAGTACAAAGTAATTAAAGGGACCCTATTATTTTTCTTTGGGGTTTTCCCTTTGCTGTAGTGTGTTATATACAGTGGAGGAAATAAGTATTTGATCCCTTGCAGATTTTGTAAGTTTGCCCACTTACAAAGAAATGAACAATCTATACTTTTAATGGTAGGTTTATTTTAACAGTGAAAGTAAGAATATAAATGTTTTTACATTATATAAAAGATACAAATTGATTTGCATTTAACCGTGGGAAATAAGTATTTGATCCCCTTGCAACAAACAAGGATTCAGGCTCCCACAAACCGGTTACATAAGTCCTCTTCCTTTAAGAAAGTACTCCTAATATCAACTTGTAACCTGTATAAAAGACACCTGTCCACAGAATCAATCAATCAGATTCAAACCTCTCCACCATGGGCAAGACCAAAGAGCTGTCTAAGGACCTCAGAGAGAAAAGAGGCACAAGGCTGGAAATGACTACAAGACCATCAGAAAGCAGCTTGGTGAGAACGAGACAACTGTTGGTGGTGCGATTATTCGGAAATAGAAGAAACACAACGTGACCATCAATCGCCCTCGGTCTGGGGCTCCACACAACATCTCCCCCTGCGGGGTATTGGTGATCATGAGAAAGGTGAGGGATCAGCCAAGAACTACATGGGAGGAATTTGTTAATGATCTGAAGGCAGACGGGACCACAGTCACCAAGAAAACTATTGGTAACACCACCATAATGGATCAAATCCGGCAGCGCCACAAGGCCCCCTGCTCAAGAAGAACATGAACGAACCGTCTGAAATTTGACAATGAACATCTGAAGGATTCAGAGAAGGCTTGGGAGAAGGTGATGTGGTCAGATGAGACCATAATCCTGATCTTTGGCATCAACTCGACACGCCGTGTTTGGAGGAAGAGAGATGCTGACTGTAACCCCCAGAACACCGTCAAGCATGGAGGTGGAAACATTATGCTTTGGGGGTGTTTCTCAGGGGGGACAGGACCACTTCCCTGCATCGAGGAGAGGATGTACGGGGCCATGTACCTTACAATCTTGGCCAATGACAAGAACAAGGACACTGAAAATGGATCATGGATGGGTCTTCCAGCAGGAAAATAAACCTGAACATACGGCCAAAGCAACAAAGGAGTGACTAAAGAAGAAGCACATTCAGGTGATGGAGGGGCCTAGCCGGTCTCCGGACCTTAATCCCATAGACAATCTGTGGAGGGAGCTGAAGCTTAAAGAGGGCAAGCATCAGCCTCAAAACCTTCAGGATTTGTGGACCAAAATCCTTCCTGAGATGTGCACAAACCTGGTGACCAACTACAAGAAGCGTCTGACCTGTCTGTCCAACAAGGGTTTCTCCACCAGGTACTGAGACATGTTTTGCAAGGGGATCAAATACTTATTTCCCACAGTTAAATGCAAATCTATATTTATCTTTTATATAATGCCAATTTCTGGATTTTCTTTTTGACATTCTTTCTCTCATTATTAAAATTAAACTACCATTACAATTATAGATTGTTAATTTATTTGTAAGTGGGCAAACTCACAAAATCTGCAACGGATCAAATACTTATTTCCTCCACTGTAGGTTATTGTGCATGTAAATGGTCTGCAAAGGCTAAAATCCCGGAGTTCATCTACCGCAAAGTCCATAATAGGGCCCCTTTAAATGTAGCTCCACCTTTACCAGCTGTGATGAGCTGGTTAAGGTATCAATAATAACAATGCCGTTATTTGATATATATGTTTCTGAAATGGGCTAATACGCAAAACAAGTACTTTAATTTTTGCCAATACTTAGATATTTCTTCAATAACTTTTTTTTTACTTTTACAAAATTGAAGTACTTTTTTCCCACTAGGGCATGAAACACATAGGAACTTATATGTATCTATATCTGTTATCCACACATTATCTTACAAATTGAAACTTTGGGGAAGTAAACTTATAAAACAATAGTATTAACAAGGAAGAGTTCCCCTTGGGCTATTAAGAAGTCTTGGTTATGCAAAAAGGATAAACTGGGCCACTCATAAAAACATCTTTAAAAACAAAACAAAACCCGAAACAGTTTGTTGAGTTGCAGCCAGAAAAGTCCTCATCTGGTTCCATAACGGGTGCCTCTGTGCAGATTAGCATTTCAAAGCCAGCCTCTGTTGTGC